GACTGGACAGCCACTTGTCTGAAATGATATAGGGTTTCCTGCCTGAGCAGGGGGTTGGACCATATGACCTTCCAACTCTATTATTATTATTCCACCCCAAGGTTATGCTGGCCCTCACCTTAATGGCCTTCCGGAAAGACCTGAAGACCTGGCTTTGCCCTCTGACCTGAAGAACAGAGAGTGTTGTGGAGCTTATAACATGGTTGTACTGTTCTTGAATGTATGTGCTCTCCCAAGAATTATTGTATGGCTTTTAATTGTTTAGTTCTTTTTAGTACTTGTATTGTTTACATGGCTGTTTTTTGTTTTTGATACAGTTTATGTTTTAATTGTAATTTTCTTAGAGTCATGAATGTGGGATGCTTCTTTTCTTTATGATCTGTGCTTTAGGATCTGTGAAAGGATCATCATAATTGTTTGTGACTGAAAATCTTGTTTCCTGTGCCCTTTAAACAAATGACATATATTTCTTTAGGAGTCAGGATTTTGGACTGTTTATCTTAAACATGAACAGTAGACGGATGACTTTAAGTTTTTTGTGTTGGAGTTCTTGTTGGCTTTGGGGAGGAAAGACTTGGGAATTATTTGTAAATATTTATCCTTTTAATTTGTTATATTTGTTTAATAAAATTGGACAAGATTTTAGAATTATTTTACATTTAAGTATTCTGGACAATTAGCTATCAGTTCAAAGTATTTTTTCTTTCAGCAAGTTGTCATTTGTGTCTTTTTGGCTTCATTAAATAATATCTATTTATCCTAGGTTATTTTTTTAATGTTCTTTGCAGAAATTTAGCTAATGAGAAATTTACTCCTGTTGAAACGTGCATTAGATAGTGGTTGGTAGTTGGAACGGTGTTTGTTTCCTTAGCATTCACAATGTACTGGCAGAAGCATTTGTCTGAAATGGAAGATTACAACTGCCACAGCAAGTTAAAAAGTTGAGCTACCATGCATTACTGCTCCTTTAACCATAAGATTTTTCCTGCTCAGTCACTTTCGTTGACTATGCTGCTTTGACTGATTTGGATTTATATTGACAGCTTGATCATCATTAAATAAAATCAACAAAGGCAACACTGCTTGCCTGGTACGTCTCTAAACTACAGATGTAATCCAAACACTATTTGTTTATGTAATAAAGCAATCTTTTTGTTTTCTATCTCAGATTGATTAAAAAATTCATTATGATTGCTTACCTGTTGTGAGTAGATAGCCAGTTTATGCACAGTCAAAACTATTTTGTTTTGTTCTTAATAGCAGTGCTACTTTGATAGCAAATGTGAGTACTATTGGAATAATCACTTTTGCATTTTAGTTGTAATCTCTGTATTTTAAACATTTATATACTGCTGCCATTTGTTTTTGTTTTTTTTTAAGGAAGACAATTTGAGACCATGCAGAAGCAAAAATCTTAAGATATACAATATTTTATATTGGAATTTCAATTTCAGTAATTGAAATAGATATTTTGCTTAGTTTAAGAGCTTGTCTTGAGGGACGATAGATGCCATTTGAAAATAGCATAATTTCAAATGATTCTAAGCTCAGAGGTTTATAGCTTCCTTGTAGAAAATTCCCAAGGATAGAGCCAAGAATTAAGCTGAATTCAAAGGTGTTGTCTCCCTCTGTAGGTTAAGCAGGTTTTTTTTAAGCAAAACAAATTCTCAGAATTTAAATGCCTTAAGCAGACTAAAATGTGCTTTTGGTATTGCTGACCTTAGTGGAGAGGCAGAACTTGGTCATATATACAGCTTCAATTACATAGCTGCTAAATTTTGCAAACCTGAAACATAGCTGTGGCATCTATGTGCGTCAGTGCCTTATTTTGCTTTTGTCCTTCAATGCAACTGTTACTCTCCCATCCAGCAAATCTTAGTTCAGGCTATTTGCACAACCCTAATGAAACTCAAAATGTTCATACTATCTGTGCATGTTGTGCAGGCTGCCGGGTAAAAAAAAATGGGGGGGGGGAGAACCGGGAGGCTTTCAATTGGATTTTCAAAATACTGGTTCACATCTTGGAAATAATTCAATTCAATTATTCATTTATCTAGCAATAACAATGAATAGTATCATGTCATAACCATAGCTGGGACTGGAACTTGAGTCACTGAGTTGTGCCCAGTTTTATTACCCATTTTGCTGTGATCATTAAGCAAATCATGTGGTTGTTGGGTGAATCCGGCTCCCCTCAATTACTTTGCTTGTCAGAAGTTCTCTGGGAAGGTGGCAGATGACAATTATGTGACTCTGGGATGCTTCAATTATTGTAAATACATGGCCAGTTGCCAAGCGCCCAAATTTTGATCATGTGACCGTGGGAATGCTGCAGTGGTTATAAGTACAAGGACTAGTGAAAAATTACTTTTTTCAGCACCATCATAATTTCCAACAGTCATTAAGCAAATGGTTGTAAGTTGAAGACTAAAGCCTGTCAGTTTCTAACCTTTTGTCAACAAGATCAAGAGAAAACTTGTTAAATGCTTCATTGAACTCAGGATACATTAATGGCATTGTTACAGTCTACAGATAAATGATTCTATTAAAAAAGCAATAAAGCTTGTATGGTATGATTTGATCTTGATATGTATTGGTTTCTAATAATCAGTACGTGTTGGCTCACAAGTCTATTTTAAAATAGAACTTTGCATAGAATCGCTGAACTAATGTGTAGATCCCTGGAGACATCTTTCTTTTTTCCAGAGGCTTAATACTGCCCAGATTCTTGAAAATATATTCCCCGCTATGGTTTTTACAAACCATCAAGGAGGTTAAGGTAGAAATACAGGTTGTAGGAAATTCTCTCTTCTAGCTCAATTTCCCCTTTCCCAGGCCCTAGATGCCATTGCTGTATTGCTGGATATCTTGGTCTCAGGCTGTTCTTAATGATTGCTAGAGAGTAAAAAGAATTTGCTGCATCGCAATTTGTCTAAGAAAGAATGGGCAAATCTGGCATGCATGGCTGAGACCTGGCAGAGCAACTCCCTGCCATTCTTACCTAATTTTATATTTGGCCACTAAGGTTTCAGTTGTTGCACAGCTGGAGACTAGAGTCAGAGAGGAGGGATGATACTGAACTTTTGTGAGAATTTTTGCTGTGAACTCCGCTCTACATGAAACAAGATGCAAATATCTTTTCCAATTGGATCTTGCACTGAACAAAAGGGGGCTAGGTAACCTCTAAATACCTTTTAATCAGGAGTATCTGTAGTGATGGTCATTGGTTTCAAAACAGCAGGTTCGACTGAGAAATCAAACTTACCTGTTATTATGTGCTTGCAATGCATGTAACATGCGTTAAAAAATATGGGGGTTTGCCCTAGTCATGCCCAACATTTTGAAGCCAGAGAGCATCATTAAGGAAGCTCCTGTTTCCATTGTTTCTACAATTTCTAATGGTAGATTGTAGAAACAAGCTAGGACAGTGGTGGCGAACCTATGGCACGGGTGCCAGAGGCGGCACTCAGAGCCCTCTCTGTGGGCACACGTGCTGTCGCCCCAGTCCTAGGCCTTCAGCTGGGTTTTCACTTTAGGCCTCCGCCGCCGTGTACAAAAAAAAAAAAGGTTCAATCAATCAGTCAATTTCAACTTCTGTGGGAAAAAAAAGATTTTGCAAAGTTGGAATTGATTGATTAAACTTTTTAGTCCCACCCAGTCTGCTATTACCACCGCAGCCACGCCCACCCAATGGGCCACACCCACCCGGCACCCAACGATGCATAAGTGGGTTTTGGGTTGCAGTTTGGGCACTCGGTCTCTAAAAGGTTCGCCATCACTGAGCTAGGATATTGTTAATACACTGCCCAGCAGGTTCATGTCTCAGTTCCTAGAACTCTCTGTGCGGAATGGGACAACTCATCACGGCCAACTCGCCATCGGACAATTCAACAAATATAACAGTTAAATTAATTTCAATAGAGCCATGGCCAATAATAATAAAATTAAGTCAATCCAGAAATAAAAGAGTTACAATAATTTCAACAAAAACATGATCATCAATAATAAAAGTAATTGAATGAAATGATTAATACTTTGAATTAATAATAATAATAATAATANGCTTCTGGAGGCAGGTTGTTCCACTGGTTAATTGTTCTCACTGTCAGGAAGTTTCTCCTTAGTTCTAGGTTGCTTCTCTCCTTGATTAGTTTCCATCTGTTGACCCACGGTAAGTTGTCCTGCAATGAGTTGGCCGCAGTAAGTTGTCCTAGGATACCCCCACCCCCACTGTGAACCAGGCACCCAGTTTCCCCTAGCTGTTAATTTTGGAGTCAATATATGTTAGGGTAGAATCTTTAGTAATTCAGGAATTCATGGACATTGTGATTAGTATTTTGTCAATCACTTTCTGACTAGTTTGCAACTCGCCAATAACACTGATGCAAGGGGGGAAAGTACCTTTTTTGTGTGCCAGTTGAACATTGCATTGGGAAGTTTATCATTGCTGGGTACTCTCATAGAAATCGTCATTCCTCAGTAGTTTTTATCTAAGCACAATGAAGAAGGTTGTTTCAAGATTCTCTCACTGTGCAAAATCTTATGGAACAGGTGGTTCTTCAGATTTCCAGTTCATTTAGAGCATTTTCTTGGCTCTAAGTAAAATCCTTAATGTTGGGGTGATTTGAAGGATATGTGTCTGTGCATTTTAAAATTAAATGTTAGTGTTTATACTTTTTAACAATAGCTTATTCTTTAAAGGGCAGATGGAATTTGATTAGTATCACTGGGGCTATTAAATAGTATTAATGTGCATTATACAAGACAGCAAACCAGAAAACAATACAGTAATTTGCAGGGAGAAGGTCAGGTAGCTGATTAGAATTTCCTTGAGTTACTTTTTTGTCATTTGTGAGTTTATGGTTCTTAGAAAATCAATAAATCAGAATCTTGAGAATATGGAAGCAAAAAAGGAGTATTTCAAAATATTCTGAAAATTCTCTTATGTGCATGTCATGAAGTTACATGAATATGAGTTATAACAATTTTTGTTTCAACAGAGCTCAACAAAAACCCAGTGGAAGGCTTCTCAGCAGGTTTAATAGATGACAATGATCTCTATCGATGGGAAGTTCTTATTATTGGGCCTCCAGATACACTCTAGTAAGTATTTCTAATCACACAGCTAATAGCTTGTGATGTTAGCATTTAATTTCTTGTAAATCAGCTTCGGGCTTTGATTTTACTGAAATTGATAGCATAGCTTTTGGTCTCATTTTAAGATTTAATATAAGACTTGCATATGCATCTTAAGTGTATCAATACTCTCTGTATACCTCTTAGGGGAACAGAATATTGGCTTGCAAGATAGTCTCTAGATTGGAAATCCTAACTTGCATAGAGTTGCATTTTATGATAATGTATGTGAGAAAGTTATTGTGTGTTTGCTGATTTAGAGAAGGTGTTATCAAGGGAATAGACTTAAACTATGGAATGGTGTATGAATATAAACATTTCTTACTGAATGCAATAATCTGTGTATAATAGAGGTAAAGCATGCATGCAAATAAGTACATCTTGGAGGAGGGAATAAGGCAAGGATGTGTAATAGTCTCTTGGTCATTTAATGTACTTATGGATAAATGTATCAGGGATGTTTATGATGTTTGGGATATGTCAGTTTGGGACATGTATGCTGCTGTAGTGTGCACAATTATTAGGCAAGTATTTTGACCATATCATCATTTTCATGCATATTTTCCACCTCCAAGCTGTATAAACTTGAATACTTAGTGGATATAAGCATATCAGGTGATGCGTATTTGTGTAGTGAGGGAGGATGTGGCCTTAGGACGGGGGTGTCAAACTGCTGGCCCATGGGCTGGACACGTCATCCGGAAGCCGTGCCCACCCCATTGCTGGCAATGGCAAAACTGTCCCGATACGTCACGTGACATCGCGAGTTTGACATGTCTGCCTTAGGAGATCAACATCCTATATCAAGATGTGCATAATTATTAGGCAGCTTCTTTTCCTCAGGCAAAATGGGCCGAAAAAGAGATTTAACTGACTCTGAAAAGTCAAAATTTGTAAAAAGACTTTCAGAGGGATGCAGCAGTCTTGAAATTGCTAAGATATTGGGGCGTGATCACAGAACCATCAAACATTTTGTTGCAAATAGTCAACAGGATTGCAAGAAACGTGTTGAGAAAAAAAGATGCACATTTACTGCCAAAGATTTGAGAAGAATCAAACTTGAAGCTACCAGGAACCTATTATCCTCCAGTGCTGTCATATTCCAGAATTGCAACCTACATGGAGTGCCTAGAAGTACAAGGTATTCAGTACTCAGAGACATGGCCAAGGTAAGGAAGGCTGAAACCCGAGCACCACTGAACAAGACACATAAGTTGAAACAGCAAGACTAGGCCAAGAAATATCTGAAGACAGATTTTTCAAAGGTTTTATGGACTGATGAGATGAGAGTGACTCTTGATGGACCAGATGGATGGGCCCGTGGCTGGATCAGTAACGGGCACAAAACTCCACTTCGACTCAGATGCCAGCAAGGTGGAGGTGAGGTACTGGTATGGGCTGGTATTATTAAAAATGAGCTAGTTGGACCTTTTGGGGTTGAAAATGGACTCAAAATCAACTCCCAAACCTACCACCAGTTTTTAGAAGATACTTTGTTCAAGCAGTGGTACAGGAAAAAGTCTGCATCTTTCAAGAAGACCATGATTTTTATGCAGGACAATCCTCCCATCACATGCATCAAAGTACTCCACTGTGTGGCTAGCCAGTAAAGGCCTTAAAGATGAGGCTGTGGGAGACTGTGGTTGCTGCTGCACAAAATGTTGGTCATCAACAGATCAAGAAACTGACAGACTCCATGAATGGAAGGCTTATGACTGTTATTGAAAAGAAGAGTGGCTATATTGGTCACTGATTTTTTTTATGTGTGGAATGTCAGAAATGTTTATTTGTACATTTTAAATTGTTTGACTATTATTCTCACTTTAACAGATGCAAATAAATGAGTGAGATGGGCAAATTTTCATTTTCCATTTAGGTGCATAATCATTCTGCACACTAATAGTTGCCCAATAATTGTGAACTCATAGATATTCTCCTAAGAAAGCCAAAACCTCACTTTTACTTTCTTAAATATTCAGGTTTGAGGCTTATTAACATTTTGGATTGACCAAAAGCACTTTAGTTATCCAATAAAATTTTTTCCAAATACAACTTGCCTAATAATTATGCACACAGTGTAAAACCTTTGTATATGTAACCTTTAACAGGATGAAACAGGTGCATCAGAGGGCAAAACTTTTTCACCCAAGGTAGCTCAAATAGATTACCTCACAGAGTGTGTCCAAAATCCAGGGGCCATGAGAGTTGAATGCATGTGTGCAAGCACAGGGAGGTCAACTAAAGAAGGCATGGAACGCATGTGAGCAAAGAAGAACGGAAGGTGTAGTGCATGCAAGCAAAGAAAGGCTGGGGGTGGGGAAGACTTACCCAAGTGACATGCAATCTTTCCTGCCAGCTTCCCCATTAATTATGTTTATGGTAAACCATCATGAAAGATCACAAATTGTGATCATGTGACTTCAGCACATTGCAGCTGGTCACATGTATGAGCTATTTGCCAAGCATTCAAGCATTCACATTTTATTCATATGACTATGGGGGCCTTGCAGTAGCCAGAACGTTGAGGACCAGTCATACGTTCTTTGATTCAGCACTGTTACTGAATGCACGGTTATAACTTAAGGGCTACCTGTAAGTTGAACAGAAGGAGAAAATCAATAAAGTGTTGGTAGATGGAGCTGATGAAATTCTCAAAAAGAAAGTTCTAAAAAGGTTAAACCACCAAAGATCAAATATGATGATGTGTCTGAATATGGTAGAAGCAAAGATAGTTTTATAAGGATTAAAGGAGGAATATATTGAATGAAAGCCAGTTTGCTATAATGGTTAAGGCATGGTGCTGGAGACCATGAGATGGTAATGATGATGATGGTGATGATGTTGGAAGGGATCTTGGAGGTCATCTAATCTAACCCCCTGCTCAGGCAGGAAACCCTGTATCATTTCAGACAAATGGCTGTCCAGTCTCTTCTTAAAAACTTCCAGTGTTGGAGCATTCACAGCTTCTGGAGGCAGGTTGTTCCACTGGTTAATTGTTCTAACTGTCAGGAAGTTTCTCCTTAGTTCTAGATTGCTTCTCTCCTTGGTTACTTTCCACCCGTTGCTTCTTGTCCTGCCTTCAGGCGCTTTGGAAAATAGCTTGACTCCCTCTTCTTTGTGGCAGCCCCTGAGATACTGGAACACTGCTATCATGTCCCCCCTCGTCCTTCTCTTCATTAAACTAGACATACCCAATTCCAGCAACCGTTCCTTATATGTTTTAGCCTCCAGTCCCCTGATCATCTTTGTTGCTCTTCTCTGTACTCTTTCTAGGGTCTCAACCTCTTTTTTACATTGTGGTGACCAAAACTAGATGCAGTATTCCAAGTGTGGCCTTACCAAGGCATTGTAAAGTGGTATTAACACTTCACATGATCTTGATTCTATCCCTCTCTTAATGCAGCCTAGCACTGTGTTGGCTTTTTTGGCAGCTGCAGCACACTGCTGGCTCATATTTAAATGATTGTCCACTAGGACTCGGAGATCCCTCTCGCAGTTACTACTGCTGGGATAGGTACCACCTCTACTGTATCTGTGAATTTGGTTTTTCTTGCTTAAATGTAGAACCTTACTTTTTTCACCATTGAATTTCATTTTGTTAGATAGCGCCCAATGTTCAAGTTTGTCAATATCCTCCTGTATCTTAAGCCTGTCTTCTGAAGTGTTGGCTATTCCTTAGTGTCGTCTGCAAATTTGATGAGTTCCCCATCTATCCCCTCATCCAAATCATTGATGTAGTCCAAACTTAGGCACAAAGCCAGCTGAGTGACAGTCACTCTTTCTCAGCCCTAGGAAGGAGGCAATAGCAAACAACTTTCAAAAATATTGGCAAGAAAACAGCAGGGACCTGTCTAGGCAGTTGCCAGAAGCCAATACAAAAAAAAAGTGAATAGTGTTGAAGTAAACCATGTTTAGTTATATTTCCTTTCTTTTCCTTACCTCATGTATGGTCTGGTTTTATTCCTTTCAGTGCATAATATTGCTTTATCCCTTGTAAGTGGATATAATGGATATGTATATAGATAGATTTATATTATGCAAATCTAACCTAACCTTGGCTAAGCCATTACTTTAGTCAGCTCCCTTCTCTCTGAAACCTAATGAGATCCACATGCTGAAACAAAGTTGCATATGAAATGTAACATTTCTTACACATTTGAGAAATATTTGTTTCCAACTCAATGGAATGTTGGAAAGAAATCGTGGAAAGTTGCTTGGGACTGTGTCTAGCTATAGGCAGGATAACTCCAGAAACTGAAATGAATTTGAAAATGAGCCATACAGAAAAAAAAATCCACTAAAAAAAGCCCAGTGTATCCCTATGGGAAAGATAGTTTGCAGCCATTCAGAATATTGCTGACTATTCCACTCTAAGCCACCTTCCTTTTCCCTCCTTGTCATATGGCCCAGAGCAGAGCATGTAGCCAACCCTGTGCTTCCCAGTGCACATATACACATAAAACACAGATAGGCACAACTTTAGAGAAGTGCAGATACATACATACATACACGCACACACAGGCAACATCTTACTTTCTAACATTCAAGTAGAACTAATTTACCAACCAAAGTAGGCACTGGTGACTCCATTGTTAAGCAGCATGATTGTTAAGTGCAACAAAACATGACTGTGACTTGCAGTTTCCTGTCAGCTTCCCCATTGACTTTGTTGGAATCTGGCTGTGAGGTTGTAAATGGTGATCACACAAGGGCAATGCATGCCAGTTGCTGAGCACCCATAGCACAATCACATAACTTCAGCAACTTTGAGGATTAGTCATAAGTCTTGTTTTTCAGTGCTGTCGTAAATCTGAATGGTCGCTGAACAAGTGGTCAGTAAGCAAGGACTACCTGTAGTAGCATCTTCTATGGTTTGCTGGTCAAAGAATAGAAAAGAATTTCAGAAGCAATAATTTGTGTGGTTTCTATATTCAAAATAAAAAAATAATTTAAAAAATAATATATCCACAGTTAATCAAATTCTTACAGTTGGTTCTCATTTAATGACCACTCATCCAGTGACCATTTGAATTTACACCTGCACTGTATGACTGGTAGTTAGACCATACCTCATACTTACAGCCATTGCTGCATCACCCACAATCACGTGATAGAAATTTGTGACTTTCCCTGTTGATTTCCCTGAATCAAAATCAGAAGTTGCAGGCACATGAGCTGCTCACTTAATGACCTGTACGGCCCTTGTTTAATGAAGGCAACAGAACTGCTGTCTCTTCACCATGTGTGTGTCCCCCCCCCAGATAATTAAATAATGAATAGTAGGCTCTGTGAATACTAATTATGAGCAAAATTGTAGAACACCAGATAATAGACTTTCCCTAAAAGATTAGAAAGGAGCAAAAGATCAAAATTTCAAGCACAGAGATAGATACGATAATGATGTTGCAGAAAGATCAAGCTATGAAGCAATTAAACCTCTTAAGCTAAACCATGTACTTTAAAATTAATTTTAAAAACCGCTAAGGAGCAAATCCCATTAAACACAAGCCATACTTTTAAGTAAATTCCAAAATCTTGTCTGCTCAGTCTTCACAGGAACTTCTATCCATTACACTGTAGCGTAAGTCATAGATACAAGAAATACCATTTTTTTAATCTAGTCACAGAAACACCGCACATAACTCCAGTAGACGCCTTAATTATAAATTAATAGTGGTTCAGCAGTTTAAATGTTGAGCAGAACCTGAGTCTGAATTACATAAAAGTAAAGTGATACAATAAAAGATAATGCAAATATTCATATAAGTAGGATAGCAGGCAAAATGAACCTTGCAACTTAGGGTTTTGTACATATTTTTTCTGATTTTCATCATTTAGCATACTTAGCATGCTCTTGGTGCCATCCTAGGCTTCAAAAATTGAGATCTGGATGTCTAGATGTGGTTTCAGTAACAAAGATTGTCCATTTTATGACTGTTTCCAAAACAGGAAATGACAGCTCAATCTTTTGTCTGTAAGATTACATATTAATTGTGATAAATAATGAGAGTACAGATGATAGGACCTGATATTGATAATATCACTTTCTTAAAGTGCATGTCTTATTACTATTACTACTTGACAAGAACAAGTTCAGGCATTTGTCATTATGCTTATTCATTTAATACCCCCCTACATACCAAATGCTGTTTTAGGCACTCTGCCAGTAAATTCGTAGTTTCATTTAACAGATGATGAGAGTACAAATGCATGTGGCCCAACAACATCTTTTATGCAACAAATGTTTCCTAGACTGTACCATAGAAACCCTTTTATTCCAAATGCAGGGAAGCTTTTTGTTTATTTAATCTGTATTGCTGTAGGCTACACTGGAAATGTTCTTCAAATATTTAGGTCTTGCTTTTAATTCTTATCCACAAGTTGAGACTTAACATACACATCTTTATTTACCTTTCCTTTGTTTGGGCCCATATCTGAATTTCATTATATCACTGAGAAAAAGTTTGGTAAAAGTAGAGATTTCTGGAAGATAATTCTTCTACTTGTACTAAGCTACGGTTCTAGGAAGTTAGATAGAAGGCAAAAAGGCCTCAAAAGTATTTTTCCCTTGCATGGTCGTCCGGGGGTTTAAGAACCTTGTAGATCTGTTCTGAGCTTAATACTTTTGGAAATACATTTGATGGGAAAATGTATGTTCTGAACCTGCTTCCAAGGGTTGGGATACCCCGCCAAGAAAGAAAGCCTACCTGCTTCTTTTTCTGTGTTCTTCATGACAGTCAAAATATTTTTATTCAGCAGGCGGTTGATGTATAAGCTTGTTTTATTCTTTAATTATGTGGGTTTGTTTAGTGTTCTACATTAGCACACTGCTGTCTTTCAAAAGACACAGTGCTTATTTGTTTGTGATCTATACTATAGCTCTTCAGTCCATGTCTAGAGATTTATTTGTGATGTTATCATTTATACTGAGATATAGTACAGATTTGTTAGTACTCTCCCTCTTCAGTGAGCTGCCAATCAACCTGGACCGTGATGGTATCTGTTTCTTAAAATGGGTGTTTTTCTTTGGCTTCTGTTGTCTGTCTGCCTGATTGCAGCCTTCACCATATGTGTGTAACATCTGCCTAGATTTTAGTCAAATCTCATGTGATTTTAAGGGAGGCATTATCATTCCATTCACTGTATAGGACAGGGGTGTCAAACTCCCAACGTCACGTGATGTGTCACGACATATTGTGACCTTTTTTCCATTGCCAGCAATAGGGTGGGCGCGGTTTCAGCATGACGCATCCAGCCCGCAGGCCGGCAGTTTGACACCCCTGGTATAGGATTTCCTTCCTACAATAAATGGGCTTCCTGTTCGTTACTTCACAACCATGAAGAAGAATGACAAACTACTCCTGATTTTCATTCTTCAAATGTTTATCTAGGCCAGGGGTGTCAAACTGCCGGCCCACAGGCCAGACGCGTCACGCAGAAGCCGCGCCCACCCCATTGCCGGCAATGGCAAAACAGTCCCGATACGTTGCGCAACTTCACGTGACATTGCGAGTTTGACATGTCTGATCTAGGCATTCATACAAACTACTATTTTCCTTTAAGTTTGGAGAGATGCTCCCTTAACAGAAACATTGTGGGGGAGGGTATGATTTTTTTTTTTAAGGCGAACATTTTTATTTATTTATTTATTTATTTATTTATAATTTAATTTATACCCCGCCCTTCTCCTCATGGGACTCAGGGCGGCTAACAGCCTCATAAAAACTACAATACAAATACAATAATTAAAAGCCGAATTAAAAAGAAATATTTAAACAGGCCGATCAATTAAAATTATCCTTAAAAATCCCCTGAAACTTTAAAATCAT